TTTTATGGGAAAAAAAGCAGCAAACGAGCAGGAGGCTCACCTGATGGTAAGTGATCACCGCCGCCCATGGACATCTGCAACACCCGAAGGCTTACAAATGCGTTGCCGGCCTTTTAGGAATGACTAAGCTCTCTTCTTGAAGGTTCCCAGGTCGTAACGGTTCGGAAAGACCGCCGGCGGCAGCTGGTTCCACAGAGTGGTTGTGCGAGGCAGGAAATGCCTTGAAAATCGCGCTGTTGTGGAACGCTGGACATCGAGGTGGTGTGGTGTGGTGAGGATAGGGGCGTATAAAAAATGGGGGACACTGAAAAATTATTGATTTTCAAAGGGGGCGGTAAAAGAAAAAAATAAGTTTGATAATCACTGATCTAAAGCATAAAGAAGCGGTTTGCATTGAAATCGTTTCAACACTCATACATTCGCGTGATTACAGAAACAATGTTATATTATCTTTTGTCTTTTCTTCTGATGCTGGCGCGTTCTCCGTCGCTGATCGCCACGAAACCTGTCCAAGGTTGGTAGTTCGCAATAGGTTCCTTCCTCGAAGAATACTCCAGGACTTGCCTTGAGCACAGGCGCAGAGTTGCCAGCCTCTCGGTTTCCCACAGGATGCATTTTGGCGATGGTGCGTTGTTGTACGATCTGATTCCTCCCGCCCCTCTCCATCCTCGGACAACTAGACGATGGGCAGGTCTCCAGCGTTATGCTGTCAAAGTTCCCCGCGCAAGAACGAGGCAATTCGCGTAGTCTTCATCATCAAGGAACGGAACAAACTGCCGGCGTCCGTCTTTCCGTTCGATTACGGCGTAGGCGTCAAGGCAAGAGTGAGAAGGTTTTTACTGAGCTAGCGCGCTTACCACCAATTACCATGGTGGGATGCCAGTCAAGCGCTGGCCAGCATCGAACAAAAAAAACGAAAACAAGTCCATATTTTTATTGACGACAAACAAAACCGACAATATCTCTCTCTGTATTAATTATAGTTGATTTTCAGGAGTTTCCTAAATACCTCCGGATCCAAAGATCCAATACCAATGAAATTAATATGAGACCACATGGGAAGCACCAGCTTTCAAATAAAAATCGTCAAAATCGTTTCACTCAGTCAAAAGTTTTGAGGTATCAAACATAAAAAAAATTACAGTCGAATTGAGAACCCTTTTTGAAAGCTTTGTTGTTTGGTGTTTCTCGTTATAAAATTGGCGTGTTTAGTCCAGACCATAATAACCGAGAAGAGCTACGGCACTAACGGCAGTTCGCGGCACTCCACTATCTTTTGAAATTGCAACGCTCGAGATTACGTCGAAGGTCGCGGAGTACAGTCAACGCCGAACGAGCCGTATTGTGATTAAAAATATAACCAAAAAAATTTAACAGATAACTAACGCCCCTTGTGTCCTTCGAGTGATTATTAATTGCATACAACGCGATAAGAATGCGATAGAAGTTGACACAATTATGTCAATGGTGAAAATAGGAAAAGTGTAAAGGAAACACTCTAGATTGTATATTGTATATATATTTATATATATACAAGGTAGATAATTTTTTTTATTTATTGTACACAAAGCATGGGATGCAGAAAAATATTAAAAATTAGTAATGTACAAAAGGTAAGCTAAACTCAATGTATGAGTTCTCTGCCAGCTAAATTACGCTTGATATTTTCGCCGGTAGCCAAACCTCGTAGCGGCGAGGAATTTTTAGAAAGATTCGACATCCTTCATCATCCTCCTGCTCTCATCCAATCTAGGTGGGGTCGCCACATGTGACGTGAATCGTGTTGTTAGCGGTTTTGGCTATGTTTTTTTACTACCGGCAGCCTGCCGACGTCGCGTGGGTCACACACATACTGGTCACGTGTGGGAATCGAACGCAAGACCCCCGAAAAATGTTACAAATACGTAGCCTAAAAAATGTCTATACTATAAAATTAATAAGGGTATCAGACCCTTGATTTCGTAGACCCGTTAAAACTATTAAAATAAAATGTAAACTAAATAAAAAAATTCCAATAAACTGCAAGTGTAAAAAGATTAAGGAGTGATTATTAGTATGAATTTATACTTTTTACGTAGAAAAAGAAAAATAACTAAAAATTTTATCCGCTGTGCCAGTACCTCTTTTTTTTGACAAAAACATTGAATGCAATTGATTACGGTTTATTTTTTATTAATTTTAATTAAATAACTTGAAATTACAGGTAAATGTCAAAAAGTTATTATTTTTTGCCATGGTAATACCGTGACGTTGGTCGCTTCGCAAACAAACCAACTTCATGATGTCGCTTTTTGGCTGTCGATGCGCGCGCGCATTGTAAAAATTTTGCTCTCATATTTTTAGAACTTCAGTAATTTTAGTTTTATTCGCTCGACTGTACGCTGTACCTATTTCCAACAACGATAGACTTTAATTGCTTGTCTATTAGTTTATTCAATAAATGGAAACGCTTTTTGTTAGCTTCCTCGGCACTTGAAGCCATATTTAATTCACGGTTCGTTTATGAAATCATAAACGACTAAAGTGCCAACACTTTAATGTAACGTTACGCAATAAAAGAAATCAGCGATATGAAAATATTATAATGTAAACACTGGGTTTTATCTCAAACTTGACCAGTGTTAAAATTCTGAGTTTCGCCTTTTAGCTGTTAGCGTAAAGAAGTAAAGTAGCCCACGCATAATGTGTCCCACTGCTGGGCAAAATCATCTCCCTATATACAGTACGAGGGCATAGTCGACAGTCTGCGGCAGTTTTTTTTTAATATACATAAATACTTCATCATCGCCTTGTAAGCTGAATGTAAAAAAATATAATTAGAACAGAGTAAGATCGTAATCGTAAAGATAAAAAATTTAAATAAAATGTAAAGAAAAAAATCGAGTCGACATTTTCTGTAAAGTAATATTATCTATTTTATCGGATTTATTTCATATCCTACAAACGTGTGAGAGATAAACGTAAAACATTTTATGTAGATGTTAAATTTTATCGATAACGTTTTAAAATTCGGTTAGTGTTAATTATTGTTTATTTGGCATTTGACATTTAAAGTGATGTAACGATGTTAATTTGTGGATCGTAATCAGTTAAAGAATCGCTGAATCTCGTGATAAAAATACAGTATACATATGTAAATAAAAGCGTCGACCATGTGGTGTTGTTAGAATTAATAAGATAGAGCGAGATGGAAGACGTATACGACCATTATCTAACCGCTATTTTTTCTATACGGCCGAGTCAGTCAACACTTTCACTGTACAAATCGCTTGGCCAAAGAACAGGAAATAACAAACTGAACTGAAACAACAACACAATCGTAATAAAAAAAATAAATCATACTCACTTAAGAAAAAAGCATCCAAGAAACGTAAAACACAACACTGGAGCTGAACGATCACAGATTAAAAAACTGATTTCGTCGAGGGCAAAAGAAGTAAACAAAACGCGCGAAAAGCGATTAATGCTGTCAAAACCGGGAGGCGCGGACGCGTATTACGTTGCTTGGCGGCGGCGTGGTCTCGCAACTCGGACGGCGTACCTATACACCGAGATGTACAGGCAAGTCGACGGGCCGAGAGTGACTGGCTAACTAATGTCTTGATTCGACATGCCGGTACTAGATTCGCGGCCGCTTTTGGCATCGCCCGCCATATTATTAGCTGGTGATAATGAGTGATAACACGACAGTCGTGGAAAACTCGATGTGTCTTGTACGGCGCAGAATCGCGGCGTGTGCGCGATATTTTAAGACGTTAACACATTGGCCAAACGGAGGCCGTGGAGCTAGTCGCGTGCGAGTAGGGTTGTCACCTCGAAATCATGAATATTTTTTTTTTTATATAATATATACTTCGTTTTTTTATTTAAATAGAGGCTTGTTTAAGTCGCGTCGAGTGTCTTTAATATCGAATGTAACTTGATGAAAGTAAAGTTTCGTTATAGGACTAATGGTGGAAGGCAGGCTACAATCAAACATTTTTTTTTAACTTTAATACCGATGTCGTAACGAATTTAGAATGGAAAATTAAGTCAACGATTAAAACGCTTTGTTGAAGGATTTTGTAAAATTTTACCACTTTATACCTTCACAATCAAGATACGAATTTATTTCATCGAACGCAGAACTCCTTAGCCAGATCACAAGACCTTCATACGGTTCATGGGCTCATGCGTGCGTTATCTCCTGGGAGGGAATGTCACCTTCGGGCCATCGCGATTCGGTGCGGACCGTGACCCCAATGACCGTTAATATATTAATATTCATTTTTCATTACAATTCTTTCGGCCGAAGCGACGTGAAGTATGAACGAACTCGCGGACAAACATCGCGTTTATGATATTAACGCTATTTTATTTCCTCCTTCTCGAGATATGTGACAACCCTAAAATTCGGACCGAAGTATGGATGCGACTACAGTTAATTCAGGCTACCTTCAACTTTCCAATAAATGGTTTCTTACTATCGGATTTACATTTATCTCTTTTTACTTCGCCCCTCTCTGTTACTCTAAGCGGGAGGCTTACAACGTATCATGAAATTTTTTTATGTGAGAAGGTGGCAAACGAGCTGGCAGTTCACCATATAGGCTGTTAGCCTATACATGTCGTTCGTGTTCGCCACGCGGCCCCACTGCGGATTGGCGGACTTCGCATATCTTCGAAGTATTTTTTTTTTGTTATTAATTCGAAAATATGTAGGTTTCCTCACGGTGTTTCCCTTCACCGCTGAGTACGTGATATGTCAGCAATTAAATTAACAATTTCATTGGTGCCGGCACCGAGGATCGAACTCGGGTTGGTCGAGTTTATTGAATTTAAAGCGATCGCTCCGATAGTGAGCTATCACGGCTATTTTCTGTATTAATTTAAAAAAATACAGTAAACAAAGCCGGGACACTTTGGTAACATAGTTGAATGTTAATTCGATTTTGATTCCCAATAAAACCATTTACGATTTCTTCTTAACTCGTAAATCAACACTCCGATATTGCGATACAATGGAATTGGCGAGAAGCATACTACTTACTCTACTACTCTCTTGTGAGTGTTTTTCTTATTTATTTTATAAAGTAAAGGATAAAAAGCCATGTTTCTAATAAACAAATTCTTTCGCAGAACTTATAACTTAGTGTTACTAATAACTTACATTTACATTTAAATGTGACAGAACATTAATTAAGACAATAAGTAGAATACTACATAGTTTAAACCAATATACAATATACACAGCGTGTCGTTACCATCGCGACAATAAATTTTACTTTATTGACTTTTTAAAGTTGTATTAAACATTTAAATTCTTTAAACATCAATATTTACACAGTTATTAAATTTTCCAAAACAAAGAATTTTAGAACACCCTTACCTATAAAAGCGTAACGTAAAGTTCATTTGTAAAGGATCACAAAGCATATGAATGGGTTGAATGAATTTAAAAGAGACAAAAACATACTGTTAGAAGGAGAGGCTTGTAATATGACGCTGTGGCGCGATTTGTATAGGATGTTACAAATTTTGTTTCTTTTTTACTTAATTGGCTTGTTTGAATAATATTTTTTTTTTATTATGGATTTTGTTTAACGTTAATATTTTTTTATGATTATTGGCAAATAGCGTTAGACGTGTGTTCATTTATTGTCGCGATGGTAACGACACGCTGTATAGTGGCAAACGAGCCGGCGGCTCACCTGATGTTAAGTGATAACCGCCGCCCATTGACATTTGCAACGCCCGTATAGGTTGCAGATGCGTTGCTTACTTAGCAAAGTGGGCCCCGGCTACCTCACTCACCAGACGAAACGCGGGAGTGTAACACTTCCACTTCACGCCGGTTCTGTGACTTGGTACTTACCCGGACGGACCTGCAAATCCGTGCGACAGCGAAGACTATTGCGCGGTCCCACCACCGTCAGCTTTTCAACTTTCAGTGCTAATTTCGCTGGTAAATGTAAATAACTTTAACTCTCGCGTAATTCAATTAGAATAAATTTTAAACGATAGAGAAAAATCACTAATGAATTTATCAACAAGCAGAATTCGGCGGTCGCTTATAGTTTTCGAAAAAATTAATAATGAAATAGTGTGATTTTTAATATAGAAATCCGCCATTTTTTTGTTGTCAAATGTCAATTCTGCTCGCATTTCTTGGTGGTCATAAAAAAAATAACCTAACCTTAACGAAGGTTAAGACGGGAGCTCTGCTCCCGCCTGAACCTTCGAACCTAATCTATCCGAGTCGGATTCGCTCTGTGTCGGTTCTGTGACTCATTAAATTAAAAAAAAATCGGACCATCGATACCAGTATGATGTCGCCCAATTCCTATATTTATCATGTAGGCAGAACTGTGTATTGAGTTTTTGAAGTCAAATGAATATAAAATCGTTTAAAAACTTTTTTTTTAATATTGTAATGTCATCTAAATTAAATGTGTATACCAAATTTCAGATCAATCTGACAACGGCAAGGTGCTTAAATTTCAATTTCTAATTTTAACCCATACAAACAAATTCCGTACGGGTCGAGCTAAATAAAACCGTTTAAAAATGGTGGATTTCTTAGTAAAAATAACAAGTTTAATTTTTTTTTTCTCGAAAAATATAAGCGACCGCCGAATTCTGCTAGTTGATTAATTCACTAGAGATTTTTCTCTATCGTTTAAAATTTATTTTAATTGAATTACGCCAGAGTTAGTTATTTACATTTGCCTTAGTTTCTACCAGCGATACCATCACAACACTCGCTTGATCGAAGGTGCTGTTTACGACGCAGTCCAGCTAGACCTCTCACCGGCGCAGCAGAGGATTGTCGACGACCTCTCTTGGGCCACCAGGTCGAGGGTCCTCACGGAGAAGGCGGACACCAGGAGGGTCGGGATACAGCCGCTGGTGGACGGAAGGCGCCAGGGGGAGAGGGTAAACATATACCTTTTCTGGGACTTTTACTAAGACTCCGCTGTCTGTCTGTCTGTCCGTCTCTCACCAGGCTGTATCTCATGAACCGTGATAGTTAGACAGTTAATTTTCACGGATGGTGTATATCTGTTTCCGCTATTACTACAAATATCACAACGAATAATTCTTTTTTGTTTTGTGTCTACCTGCATTGTGTTTTTAATTTTTAGTATTGCTTGTAAAATTTTAAATATTGTTGTTAAAAATGTTTAAAATTGTATTAGGCTATACTAATGTATACCCATAGTGAGAGACGCAGGCAGCCGTGACACAGTTTATACAAGTATGGCAGCTTTTCAGCAGCTTTTTTTTTTACTTTACTTTAGTTATTATGTAAAAATAGCTGCTGCCCGCGACTACGTCTGCGTAGAATAGGCTGAAGGCGTAACATTCAGACAGAAAGACAGATATACATAAAAATATGTATACAAATTATAGCCTATGCCTTATTCTGATGTATAAGCTATATAAATGTAAAGTTTCATTAAAATGCATTCAGTAGTATTTACGTGAAATGGTAACAAACCATCCATACATACAAACTTTCGCGTTTATAATATTAGTAATGGTTCATGGAGTGAACAAACAAACATTGAGTATTATTAATTAAGCCCTTAGGTCCGACGCCGCCGTTCGCGGACGACGAGATAAAGCTGAAGCTGTTCCGAATGATGTACGAATCGATCAGCGACAGCGACTCGAAGATAAAGCGCGCGGACACGATAAGGAGGTCCTACGAGAACAGCACCTCCTTCGAGGTGGGCTTCATCGTGGCCGACGCCACGGACAAGTTCGACACGATGGTGGACATATCGAGCATGCTCGAGCGCTTGTTCGCCGACTGGAGGCCGATCGAGCACATAAACGCGTACGAGCACATAGCCAACAAGGGCATAGAGATCAGCCAGCTGATAGAGCTGGCCAAGTCCGTCGCGAAGAGGAACGCCACATTGACTGGCTACCGACGCGCCTTGGTCAATATTTCGTTGTGGTGAACGCGATAGAAGCTGTGCCGATGATTCTGTTATCTCCTAATACAAGATATTAAGAGATAACAGAGAAACAAATAACCTTCCAATAATACGCAATTGTATATTGTTCATTCCTCTTCATTCTTCAAAAAATCTTTAACAGTGGCAGCTGTGCGTTTGGAATTCTTTGCCCTTTCACATTCGAGAAGCTAGTCCCTTCTTTATTTAAAAAAAACCTATTAAAGGCTTATTACTTGGAACTTTAAACATGCTGTCCTTTTTTCTTTTCCTATTTCCCCCGAAATCTTTGACTATCTCATTGATATATAAATGCCCTTCATCCGGTGTTGTCTTCTTCATGTCTCATTAGCAAAAATTCTTTTCGCGTTACTTCCTTTTACGTTCATTTGTAATTTGCTTTGTATATATGTATTTTTGGTGTAAAATAAAGTATAAATAAATTGTTGATAAGACTAGCTTTTGAAGGATTCATCGAATTTATTTTTAATTTTAATTAGCGACGTCTCGAACCCTTTACAGCGTTCGTGGTCACGGGGCAGACTGTCAAAAGTAGTTTCATTTAGATGCGGGACTGTTAATGTTCGGTTTTTAACTTTCAGTGCTAATGCTAAACTAGGAACTTAGGAACTAAACTAAAAAATTGCCTGAAAAAGTCTAAAAACAACACTTTTCTATATTCCCGTACAAAAGATTCGTAATAATACTTAAAAGTAAATTTGAACTTTAATACCATACCATAAAGTTTAAGTGCTAGTGGAGGGGTTCCGGGAAGGTAACACAATTCAGTGACGTTAGTATCGTAGAAATATTAATGTCAATATTTTGTCATTTTGTAATAATTTTTTACTAGATAGAGGGATTCAAGAGGATGGTTTATATGTATAAAACATTGCACCCGTGCGAAGCCGGGGCGGGTCGCTAGTAAATAAATAAATATTAAAGACACACTTTTACAAAACGTTGTCTATTACCAAACTAAGCAACGCTTGTACTATGGGTACTGGATAACTGATATACATAGAATCACTACTTCTTCGGCAACTTGTATAGACAATATATTTACAAATTATGAACCAATCGATAAGTCAATTATTAATATGTTAAATTCAGACCATTGCGGACAACTTGCAATTTTTAAATTATATAAAAAAAGTAGTGATGATAAATTACAAAAAATAATGTTTGTTCCTGTAAATAGAACTCGTATTGAGAAGTTTAGAAGTAATATAACAAAAAAGCTGACATATTTACCTTATAATGACAGTCCAGATGCGCTTTACAACACATTATTTAAATTAATTAAAACTGAATTTAATGCTATATTTACTTCTAAGACAGTCAATCGTAAAAGCTCTGCAGTTTTCAATGATTGGGCAACAGTCGAAATTCATAAGAGTAGGCGTAGACTGTATGAACTGTATAATGAAAGGACATTCAATCACAGTAATTCTTTTGTAGCTTATGTTAGCGCCTATTCTAAAATATTTAAAAAAGTTTGTTATCTGGCTAACTCAATATTTATTAAAAATAAAATAAAAAGCGCATCTGATAAAATCAAAATGACGTGGAATATAATAAATAGTGAAACGGGTAGACTTACGAAGCGCAACTCTGACTTAACCTTAACTGATGGTATTAATACTATTCAATCTAATCAGGAGGTTGCCAATTTTTTCGAGAAATTTTTTGCTGACATTCCTGCTTCTTCAACTAAGTCACTTCTCTCTTCTCCGACAATTGCCGAATCATTACTTAAGAAAAATGTTATGGAATGTAAAGAAAACTTTAAGTTTACTACTGTTAATAAGAACGATATCATAAAAACATTCAAATCTCTAGATATTAAAAGAACTGCTGATCTATGGGGGATCTCTGTCAAGGTGATCAGTTCTATAATTGATGTAGTCTCACCTTACTTAGCAACTATTTTTAATATTTGTATTCAACGTGGCGAGTTTCCTGACCTTATGAAACATAGTAAGATTATTCCGGTGTTCAAATCTGGTAGTACTTCTGACCCCAGCAATTTTAGACCTATTTCAGTACTACCGACTCTTAGTAAAATTTTTGAAAAAATTATTTTGAATCAAATGTTACTCCATTTTAGTACACATAAATTGCTGCATAACAAGCAATATGGATTTACTAGGGGTCGCTCAACAACAGATGCGGGTATCCAGCTTATGAAGAATATTTTTGAAGCCTGGGAAGAGTCACAGGATGCCTTAGGTATATTCTGTGACTTAACCAAAGCATTTGATTGTGTACAGCATGACACTCTGGTCAGGAAACTACACCACTATGGTATAAGAGATGCCGCACTCAATCTTCTGACATCGTACTTGAGCTATCGTGTTCAGAGAGTTGACGTGAATGGCAAGAGATCTCTCCCGGGCCCTGGTAAGTATGGGGGTTCCACAGGGATCTATTCTGGGGCCTTTTCTCTTCCTCATCTACATAAATGACCTGCCCTATCTTGTAAATAATGATCATGAGATAGTATTGTTTGCTGATGATACTTCTTTAATTTTTAAAGTTAAACGACATTCTTCAAATTATGACGACGTTAACAATATTCTCTCAACTGTAGTGCATTGGTTTAGTGCTAATAACTTAATGTTGAATAGTAAAAAAACGTAATGTATTAAATTTACAACTCCCAACGTAAAAAGTGTAAAAACTGATGTACTTTTACATGGGGAAGCGTTAGACCTCATTGACTCGACTGTATTTCTTGGCATAACCGTAGATGCCAAATTGCAGTGGGGCCCCCATATTAATAAACTGTCGAGTAGACTTAGCTCAGCAGTCTTTGCAGTCAAAAAAATTAGACAGTTGACTGATGTGGATACGGCTCGTCTGGTATATTTTAGCTATTTCCACAGTATAATGTCTTATGGCATTCTACTTTGGGGAAATTCAGCCGACATAAATACTATTTTCATCCTGCAAAAGAGAGCTATTCGAGCGGTTTATAACCTGGGCCCCAAAGACTCACTAAGAAACCTGTTTAAAGAAATAAAAATATTGACTGTCGCTTCTCAGTACATACTTGCTAATGTTATGTATGTCCACAAAAATAAGAATGACTGTTCAAGATTTAGTAATGTGCATGATGTAAATACTAGGAACAAGCATAAATTAGTTCTACCCTCAACTAGATTGCGTAGAATAAGTAAATCTTTTATGGGACAATGTATACGCTTTTACAACAAAATCCCAGAAAACGTTCAAAATGAATCCGTTGCTAAATTCAAAAAACTTGTAAAGGAACGTTTGTGTGTTAATGGCTATTATAGTATTAGTGATTATATGAATGATAACACACTCTGGAAATGAATTGATCGCTCCAGGCTCTTTCAAGTGGAGTTTAATAGGAGTTTAATAATTGTACACATATTTGTAATTTTTTTGGCAAGTAAAAAAAAATTATGTCCCGCTGAGTTTCTTACGCCGGTTCTTCTCAGGTCAGTGGCTTACCTTCCGAACCGGTGGTAGAGTTTTTTGATTATCAATAAGTAAGTGAATGCTTCTATATTGAATAAAGATATTTGACTTTGACTTTGACTTTGACATATATAGACACCCTTTTCTTTAGTAAAAAAACTGTTGCAAGATTTTTGAAGTCATACTTTTTAGGAGTGTTTGAGAAAAATGATTAGAGTTAAATTTTTGCGATGCGTGATCAATGATGTTTTAATGAAGATGACGCATGTCCATACTGCGCGGCTTTTAATAATTGTTCCGCTTTACATTGTATGACATATACAGGATGGGTTTTTTAAAGGTGCCCAAATTCACACATGAGGTTCAGACTCGGTAGTATAATCGTTTATTGAAATAAAAACAAACTTTTATTGTCCAAAAAAAATTCCAATTCTATCCCTTAAAAAACAGAACTCGTTGACAATGCGGTAGTCATTAATAAATGCGTCGTATACTTTTGAAACGAACTTGTGTGCGTGTTAGTTATGTGCGTAAAATAAATGAGTTGCCCATAAATCACACACTTTTTGAGATAAGTTCAAATGAATGTAATTAATTAATTACGAGTGATTTTAAATATTTTTAATTTTTTATATAACATTATTTGTCTAGAATTTAATTAAAAATGGATACACTTAGAAAAGCCTCCCTGTATAAGTGAATGTGAGAGATATAGAACGTATGATACATCTAGTGTGGGACAAAGGCGAGAGAAAGTATAAGAAGAACTTAGATTTTCTTTTAGGGGAATTGAAAAGTGAGCAGGTGGCATCTGCACCCTGGGAGTTGTAGTTGTGATTCAACCATAAAAGAGCGGATCTGCATACTGTGGTAGGGCCACGCAACAGGCTTCGCTGTGGCACGGTGGACAGGACCGTCTAAGGAACTACCACGACCTCACAGAAGACCGCCTTCAAGTAGATGATGTCATACTTCTGCGTTTCGTCTGGTGAGTGAGGTATCCGGTGTCCACTTTATTAAACGCTGGCAACGCATCTGAAACCCTAACGCCCGGTTTCTGAAACACTGATCATCGTAGATGTCAACTAATCAGCCGTCAAATGGCTTTTCAAATTTCATTTTAGTTGCCAAAAGGACGGTTAAACTCCCTGAATTGATCAGAATGATCTTCTAATGATCAGAACGATCAATCCAAAGAGTTTAACCATCCTTTTGGCAACTAAAATGAAATTTGATAGCTGATTAGTTGACATCTACGATGATCAGTGTTTCAGAAACCGGTCGTAAGGGTGTTGCAAAGGTCCATAGGCGGCGGTTATCGCTTAACTTCAGTTGAACCGCCATCTTGCTTGTCACCTTCTCACATAAAAAAACCTCATCCCCCTTAGTCTCATCCAACATACAAGTACAGTGAGTTTACGTCGGTTACTTGTGCGTTCGTGGTATTTATGCTTTAACTTTATACAGAGCATAATAGATATCGTAAAAAAGTAAAAAAGTAAAGTATCAGCCTATAAATGTCCCACTGCTGGGCAAAGGCCTCCTCTACACAGAGGGTATCAGGGCATAGTCCACCACGCGGCCCCACTGCGGATTGGTGGACATCACATATCTTCGAAATATTTTAATTATTATTTCGAAAATATGCAGGTTTCCTCACGATGTTCTCCTTCACCGCTGAGCACGTGATAATTCAGCACTTAAAATTGACAATTTCATCGGTGCCGGCACCGGGGATTGAACTCAGGTTGCTCGAGTATATTGAATTAAAGGCGAGCGCCCGGACACTGAGCTATCACGGCTCTTAGATATCGTAGTATTATATAAAGGAGAAATATAACTGTGGCACTCGGGGACTGCCGCGGTAAAGCTATTGCATAGCATTTTTTTATCAACTTATGCAAGTATAATAATTTTTTTTATTTTTATTTATGCAGTATTTTTCTTCTTGAAACTTTATCATTGAAACCATAGGTTTATGGTAACTGAAATAAGAAACAAGTTTGAGACTTGATATCCTCTTAATATCATATCATCATATGATAATATAATATCATAATATAATATCCATCCGTGCGAGCTTCGTCCAGTCGTACCATATAGATACACGTTAAGCGAACGCTCGCCCGAGTTACATGGTAGGCGGAGTGGGGCGGTGTAAAGCCCGCGATAAAAGCTATGCAATAGCTTAATCTTATCCTTTAAACGAGCAATTCTTGTATATATATATATATATATATATAATCGGAATCTTGGAAACGGCTCCAGCAATTTTCATGAAATTTAGTATGTGCATAGATTCGGGGGCGAAAAATCATATATATTACATTGAAATATATCAGAAATTCATAATTTGATATACTTACATACAAGCGTTCTTGATAAATTGCAACGCGTGCAAGTTTGTTTTGTATATTTATTGCTAGTTTTTTTTTTTTTTTTTTTTTTTTTTTTAATGCGAAAAGTTGTCAAACGAGCAGACGGTTCACCTGATGTTAAGTAAATACCGCCGCCCATGGACATCTGCCACACCTGAGGGTTACAGAGGCGTTGACAACCTTTTGAAAATTGGGCTCCGGCTACCTCACTCACCAGACGAAACGCGAAAGTATTTGTCATACTTTCACTTTACGCCGGTCTTCTGTGAGGTCGTGGTACTTACCCGGACGTGCCTGCCCATTCGTGCAACAGCCGAGGCTGCTGCGTGGCCCTACCACCTTAAATGCCGTAGTCTTGTATGTTTTTAATTTGATAAATTAAGTTTTGCTCTAGAATTTGTGGTGTGTGTTTTAGCCATATGTGGTATATGAACTCCCGTAATACGTAGAGTTCATTTCGTGCTGATTTTGTGGAGGAATTTCTCGACCAATAGGAACCGTGAAAAATTGGCAAATGAGGGCAAAGCAAACCTCGATTCGATCGTTTACACAAATGCGTTGACGTGTAGTTATTCACTTAACTAACTTTTATAAATGTGTATGAAAGTTCCTATTGGCATTTTGGATATCTATCCAGAGATTCCAGAGACAGGATATATACCTGTCTCTTACGCCGGAGGGTGTGGGTTCGATCTTTACTACTGGAAAAATATCGTGTGATGGACATAGCGTATAAATATTTATTTACGAAAGAAAAATATTATGTTAACTAGTCACCTAATAACCATAGTTAAAGCTTTGCTTAGTTTTGGACTAGATAAATTTGTTTCTTTTTTCAATATTGCTGTTATCGAGATTCTTTGGACCGCCATCTTTTATACATGTCAGTATGTATTAAGACAGTGTAAGATAAAGTGTAAGACACTATTATTTATATATTCTAATTAAAAATAAATTCACAACATTCGTCGCATATGTTTTATTAACTTAAACTAAGGGAATGGAGTCATTCACATATTAATTTAAAATGTTCCTACACAATCTCTATGAAAATCTAAATATTAAACGTGCACTATAATATTATTTCGGGGGATTCCCCATTCGGTATCATTCCCCCGGCCAGACCAGGCCCTCTATCCAGTCCAGGTAGCTGGAGACCCTCGTGTATATGGCGGGCTGGCCGCTGCGCGCGCACTTCCCGCCGAATGACGTCACTCCGATGACGTAGAAGATGCACTGGTTCTCCTGGGACACCACTTGAAGGGGGGAGCCCGAGTCACCCTGAAATTTACGCCCTTATGTAACAGCTATAATATCTAATACTAGTGACCCGCCCCGGCTTCGCACGGGTTTAATGTATTACATATGCATCATCATCATCATCATATCAGCCGTAGGACGTCCACTGCTGAACATAAGCCCCCCATTAACCTCCACTTCGACCGGTCGTTAGCGGCCTGCATCCAACGCGTCCCTGCGATCTTGGCTAGGACGTCCGTCCACCTTGTGTGAGGCCTTCCTACGCTGCGCTTGCCGTCACGTGGTCTCCACTCGAGAACCTTTTTGCCCCAACGGCCATTGGTTCTTCGAGCTATGTGCCCTGCCCACTGCCACTTCAGCCTGCTGACTCGCTCTGCTATGTCGGTAACTCTAGTTCTTCTACGGATCTCCTCATTTCTGATTCGATCTCGTAGAGAAACCCCGAGCATTACCCTTTCCATAGTGCGCTGTGCGACCGCGAGCTTCCTTATGAGGCCCATAGTGAGAGACCACGTCTCGGCACCGTAGATCATTGCTGTTAGCACGCACTGGTTAAAGACTTTCGTCTTTAAGGGCTGTGGTATTTTGGACGTAAAGACGCTGCGCAATTTCCCGAACGCAGCCCAGCCGAGCTGGATTCGTCGATTGACCTCCTTCTCGAAGTTGGATTTGCCTTGTTTGTCCCAGATAGACATAACTATCAACTTCGAGTGGCGAGCCTCCCAACAATACGGGGGTGGGTGTCACATGGACATTTGACATGACTTTGATCTTTGCCATGTTCATTTTCAGGCCCACCCGCTGGGAGACTCTATTGAGGGCTACGATTTGTTGTTGTTGCTTGGTCTCTATTGTAAAAGTGCTTATGAATATGCTCTTGAATATTGTACACTATTAAATTAAGCTAATCTTATAAAAATTAATAAAGGAATGAAGGTGAATTGTTAATAAATAAAAAGCCATATCTCCAAATAAAGGTTAATTCCTAAAATAAATATTATATCCTTTTATGAATCATTTCATATTGATAAACATGAAAATAATGTTAAATCTTAAAACAAAAACAAACATCTGGCAACCCAAAAAAAACATTAGTAGACACTGTGGTTGAAAAGAGGGATTTGAATAATTAACGGATATTATGATATATTGTGGATTTGTGGAATTGATGTAACCATTGTATTGTGTAAACCTTGTAATAACAAATAAGTGGAATTAAATAAATATCCATCAAGAAGACTTTAATTAAATTCTAACACCATTGAGGGATTGTGCTGAGCTCCTCCAAAGACTTTGCCATGACTACGATGTCATCGGCAAACCGAAGGTGAGTAATGTATTCGCCGTTGATATTGATGCCACATCCTTTCCAATCCGCTTGAAGGCGTCTTCCATTGCATCGGTAAAGAGTTTCGGAGAGATAACATCTTGCCTCACTCCCCTCTGCAACAGAATAGCCTCCGTGCTCTGATCCTGTACTCGGGCCGACATGGTGGCGTTTTTATACAAGCACTTCAACACTTCGATGCACCGATAGTCAATGTGGCACCTTTGAAGCAGCACTGCCCAAGTCTCGATCGAATCGAAGGCTTTCTCATAGTCCACAAACGCTAAGCATAGTGGCAAATTATACTCCTCAATCTTCTGTATAATTTGCCGCAGCGTATGAATGTGTTCTATGGTACTATAGCCTTTCCTGAAGCCGGCTTGTTCGGGAGGCTGGAAGTCATCTAACCTGCGTGCGAGACGATTCGTGATCACCCTCGAAAACAGCTTATAAACATGGCTCAGAAGCGACATATGCGTATATTATACGTATATACAAACAGACAGGGGCAACTTTGTTTTATACTATGTAGTCTTATAAATAAAATAACATAAAATTCTTGTCACAATTTTAGTGTATATACTCCTCCCAAACGACCGACTGATTTTGATGAAATTTTATATGTAGAGAATAGATTTATTACAATTTTTTTAAAATTTAAATGTTAGCTTATATAACAGCTGTAATCATCACTACATAGTGTAAAACAAAGTTCTCCCGCTGTCTGTCTGTCCCTGTGTATGCTTAGATCTTTAAAACTGCGCAAAGGTTCTTAATGCGTTTTTTTTTTACTTGATAGAGTGATTCAAGAGGAAGGTTTATATGTATCATACATTGCACCCGCGCGAAGCCAGGGGAGGTCGCTAGTATCTAATATATAAAATTCTTGTCACAGTTTTAGTGTTTACACTCCGCCGAAAGAGCTCGACTGATTTTGATGAAATTTTATATGTAAATTACAGGTCAAGTAGGCATGAGAGTAGGTTTATAGGATTTTTTTTTCTATCCTAAAAATAATTTATATGACAAAAAAACGTTTGCCGGATCAGCTAGTGATCTCATAAGAACGGTGACGACGTGGTTTGCGAGCGGATGATTCACCTGATGTTAACTGAATAGCACCGCCCTGGATATCTACTACAGCCGAGAGCTTGCTGATGCGTTGACAACCTTTAAAAAAGTGGGCCCCGGCTACCTCTCTCGCCAGACGAGACGCGAAAGCTTCATCTTTCCGCGGGCCACGCAATAGCTTCGGGCACTTCGCTTGTTGCACGAATGGGCAGGTCCGTCCGGGTAAGTACCGCGACGTCACAGAAGATCGAAGCGAAGTGTAAAAGTCTCAGTGTTACACTTCTGCGTTTTGTCTGGTTAGTGAGGTAGCCGATGGCCGCTTTATTAAGGTGGCAACGCATCTGCAACCCTACGGGCTTTGCGAATGTCCATGGGCGGCAATCAATTAACGTCAGGTGAACCGCCAGTTCGCTTGCCACCTTCCCACATAAGAAGAACTGACCAAGTGCGAGTCGGACTTCCGCACGAAGGGTTCCGTACTCTTATCTATGAAAGGAGCAAACAAAACATGTCTGTGGTACGGGAGCCCCACTTAAATATTTTTTATTTTGTTTTTATAGTATTCGTTGTTATAGCGGCAGCAGAAATACATCATCTGTGAAAATTTTTCCACTGCCCAACTGTCACAGTTTTTAAGATACAGCCTGCTGACAGATGGACATATAGACAGACAACGGAGTAATAGGGTCCCGTTTTACCCTTTGGGTGCGGCACCCAAAAAGACCTGAAGAAACACGAACCCACCTGGCAGGTGTCCTTGCCGCCGCGAAGCTCACCGGCGCACATCTGCGAGGGCACGAACCCATTCCAGTATCTGTTCCTGGCCATTATCCTGTCGCAGTAATCGTTCGTGAGCAGCGATAGGGAGACCTTCTTCAGCTCCTTGGACGTCTCCAGGCTGTCTGGAAGAGAGAGAGGAAGATAGGTTGATGTCACGTCTCTTGTCTTCTCTGTCACGTCACACCTCTCTTTAATGTGTACAAATTTAAAGAGACTAAAAACGTTGGCCTTATTTTAGGATAATCCAATCATTATCCTGTGTTGTAAGGACGTTTTACAAACATAAATTTCACGCGGACAAACACCCAGATGCGAAACAACTATCTGTGGGTCACACAAATAGCTATCCCGTGCGGGAATTGAACCCACGAACCCCGACGCCGAAGCCAACACCTTGGCAACTGCGCCACGGAGTCATGAAATTTCATTTATTTGTGCGTAATTAAAAACTATGTTTTAACGATGACAAACGAGCATAACTTCACGCGCGTGCATAAGTACACACTCATTGTTTCACATATATTATCTGTGCAAATGTTCACCTGGGACAGACCCAACTCATTTTGTTTTCACATATTTTATCTGTAATAAAGTCCACCTGGGACGGACCCAACTTATTTTTTTTCACATATTTTATCCGTGATAAAGTCCACCTGGGACGGATCCAAGTCATTTTTTACGTATTTTATCTGTGCAAAAGTCCACCAAGGACGGACCCAACTTATTTTTTTTCACATATTTTATCCGTGATAAAGTCCACCTGGGACGGACCCAACTCATTATTTTTCACGTATTTTATCTGTGCAAAAGTCCACCTGGGACGGACCCAACTTATTTTTTTTTCACATATTTTATCCGTGATAAAGTCCACCTGGGACGGATCCAAGTCATTTTTTACGTATTTTATCTGTGCAAAAGTCCACCAGGGACGGACCCAACTTATTTTTTTTCACATATTTTATCTGTAATAAAGTCCACCTGGGACGGACCCAACTTATTTTTTTTTCACATATTTTATCCGTGATAAAGTCCACCCGGGACGGATCCAAGTCATTTTTTTACGTATTTTATCTGTGCAAAAGTCCACCAGGGACGGACCCAACTTATTTTTTTTCACATATTTTATCTGTGCCAAAGTCCACCTGGGACGGTGACGCCCCAGCCGGTGGCGAGCGCCTTCCCGTTCCCGCCGAAGTCGGGCTTCGTCCAGAGGCAGGCGGGGCGGATGTTGTCGTTGAAGGGCACGTCCTCCGCCAGCTCGAGGAGCGCGATGTCGTTGTAGCGGTCAGGCGGCTTGTACCCGGGGTGCTTGTGGATGGTCTTTATTCGGACCTGGTGGTGAAGTGGGGAGGTGTTTAGGCACGTGGGGGCATTACGTCACGCACAGATCCTTACTTAAATAAATACTAGCTGGCCCGCGTAACTTCGTCCGCGCCAATTCTACCGGGTCCATACGTTTCTACTTTTAGCATAGCGCCATCTATGGGATAGTTACTCAATCCAGCCGATAAATTTATCTTACACCGCCATCTGTTAGACTCATAGATAGCTTTGTCATCGAATAAACAAATAATTTGCAATAACAAATATAGAGATCAACAATTGAGATAAAAACTACCCTATATCCCAAGTTGGACCAAATTACAAATGCTTACAAAATTAGATAAAAATGGGTTCGGTAGTTTCGGAGTTTATCGCGAACATACATCGTGACACGAAATTTTATTTTAATTTATATATATATATATATATATATATATAGATAATACTAGCTGATCCGGCAAAAGTTGTTTTTCCTCATATAAAATATCGTCCCCGCAACACTACTTGTGGGTGGAATTTTATAAAATCCGTTCTTAACTGACCTGTCTCTACTCGGCGAAAGGAATATTCCTACCAAATTTCAAATCTCTACCCCTTATGGTTCCAGAGGTATCGTGATGAGTCAATTATCGATGGAAATCTGAATGGATTTTAATTAAACTTTACAATAATATAGCTTATACATCAGAATAACACATAGGCTATAATTACATATTTTTATGCATATCTCTGTCCTTCTGTCTGAATGTTACACCTTCAGTCTATTCTACGTAGACGTAGTCGCGGGCAGCAGCTAGTATATTATAATACACGTTTCTTTTTACTGTTTAGTTGCCTGTTTGAAGTCGTTTTTTTTTTTTGTTAAACATTATTTTATTTTTATGATTTTTAGTGATGGTATGCTTCTCGGATGAGGAAACGAGGGCTACTTAAGATAGAAAATAATAGACGGAAACGCTTAGAAAAAAATAAAACCAAAACTAATGAGAAAAGAAAAAATCAATTGAGTAGGCCACGTCGTGTGGGCGAGTGAAAGAACGTTGCTAGAGATGACGCCATTACGCATCTTCAATGCAGTGTCAAATTGACGCATCAGCATGTAATGGTATTCCCAGTGGGGGATTTGCCCTAAGGCACAGTAGGCCCGGGCGTAGGTCAGCCAGACTTTAGGGGCGGCTAGTCGTGACAAAAATTCAGTGACAATCACAAAAAATAACTCAAAGTAACTTAATATTCTAAAGGCTCGAGCAAATTATAGCGGACCGCACTTCACCGCATCGATAAACAATAATCTTCCTAAATTATGTAATTTTGTACATTTTATTTATAAAATAGAGATATGTTATAATAAGATATAATCTTAAGTGTTTATTTGGTATAAATTAAATTTAAGTATAAGTTACTTCAAATATGTAAGTAATTTAGGAAGAAACTGGTGTAATGAGTTTGCAACTCTATAGACCGCTATCTCTTTCCGTATAATACGTTCCATATCATCTGTCACATTCACTTACATATGTCGCGCAGTTTGGACATGCGTCATTTATGTTATTAAAAAATAATTGCTACAAGAGCAACTGTGGTAGGGCCACGCAGCAGCCTCGGCTGTTGCACGAATAGGCAGGCACGTCCGGGTAAGTACCACGACCTCACAGAAGACCGGCGTAGAGTGGAAGTATGACAAATACTTTCGCGTTTCCTCTAGTGAATGAGGTAGCCGGAGCCCAATTTTCAAAAGGTTGTCAACGCATCTTGTATCTTGTATCTTGTATTAACTGCTGTTTTTGCTTTCAGTCCCGAGACTATTAAAGCTTCATCGGACGCAGAACCGGTGGGCTAGCCAGAACCCACGGGTTTGGACCCTCCGCTATGGGTAGGGTCGCGCATGTGCTCATGCGTGCGTTTAATTATGGTGTGTCATCTAAGGGCCGTCGAGGTCGCGGTTCGGACCGAGACCCCGACGGCCGTCGACTGTGCATTTAGCTAATCGGTGGCTGGGAGCGGTGAGAACCGCCCCGGAAAGCGGGTGTACCTTGTGTACGCGTTGTGTGGGTCTCGCCGTGCTCGGAGGCGAGGGCGAACTGGTGTGATTGTTGTTACACTAACTGTGGGAGTATTGTTATCCGGCGGGAACCCCGGCGGTGGGTCCATCGTATCTAAGTCCTCTTCGTCGACCGGGTCGAGGACGTTTCGCGGGCGACGCTCAACGCATCTGCAACCCTCGGCTGTGGCAGATGTCCATGGGCGGCGGTATTCACTTAACATCGGGTGAACTGCCAGCTCGTTTGCCACTTTCTCACATAAAAAAAAATAAAAGAGCATACATATACGTGTAAAGTTACACCACTCACATCTATGGGGTTGGCTCGGTCCTTCACGCTGGGATCCAGGTTCTGGTCCCCTAGGCGCACGATCGTGGGCTCCCCCGCCCTGGGCTTCTTGATGCAGTGGCCGGCCGTCATCACGAACCGCCTGCTGATGAGGCTCCCGCCGCAGCTGAAGTCGTACCCACCATCGAAGCCGGGCCAGCCCACAGCCGTCTGGTGTAACATCCATCACTATAATCCTGTACATATTGTAATGGTGGTAGGGCCACGCGGCAGCCGCGGCTGTTGCACGAATGGGCAGGCTCGTCCGGGTAAGTACCGCGACCTCGCAGAAGACCGGCGTAAGGTGGAAGTATAATACTTTCGCCTTTCGTCTGGTGAGTGAGGTGGCCGGAACCCAATTTTCGAAAGGTTGTCAACGCATCTGTAACCCTCCGGTGTAGCAGATGTTCGATGTCTAAATATAAAGATCTAATAGATAAATTATGGGTAAAATAAAACTTGCAGTCTCACCATGTGCGGGAACTCCCCCTGTAGGGCGTCCTCGCCCCCGACAATAAGTTCGAGTCCCGTGTAGTTGCAGTTGACGTCGGATATCGACATCGTCTCGGGTTCTGGCAGTAGGCTGATGAAGTCCACCTGCTGCACCACCGCCTTGCTGTACTCCTCACATTCTGGCAGCGAGAAAAGCTGACACATAACACACGCCCATTCGTACAAGTGCAATGTCTGTTGTGTGGGAGCCTTAAATATTTTTTATTCCATTTCTTGTTATAGCGGCTACAGAAATCATCGATCATTTATCACGGATTATGAGATACAGCCTGGTGGCGGACAGACGGACATACAGACAGACAGCGAAGTTTTATTTATTTATTTGTTTGAATATGGTATAAAGATGTTAACAGTCATATTACACGGTTCAATCTTATTCAACCATTTCTGGTATATAAAATGCTTAGACATATTCAAGGTTACATTCTATACTTACTTTTAGTTATCTTTGTCACAATTTACTTCATACATGATAACAAAAATGTCTATACAATGTCCTTTTTATAACCTACGTCTTGAGAAACTATGTCAAAATTCAATTATTTGTGGGTCAAGTTACATAAAATTAGACAAAATCAGATTAAAGGTATTGTTTGGAACTGTATTCAAAATATTCTTGGATTGAATAAAAGCATGTGTTCTTTAGCCACTCATACAATCTCTTTTTAAAGACTGTAAACGGTAAGTTTATGATTTCCTTTGGCAATTTATTGTACACTTTTATAGCCATTATATAGCAATTATCGGAATTAAATTTTTTCTTTGTTTTAGGAATTATCAGCCTTTCTCCGAATCGGCTACTATTTTTAATACTTTAGTAATAGGGTCCCGTTTTATACTTTGGGTACGGCACCCAAAAAATTGTCTGCTGCCCATCGTCGAACGAAACGCGTAAGCGCCGCGATTTTCACGGCGGTTACGATCTTTTGGTCGCGACAAAACAACACCGGGAAACTATCTAGCGCTGCAAGTTTGAATCGTTTGGTTAGACTGATGATTGTTTCAGCGCTGCAGCGAACCTTACTTTAAAACTCTGGTAAAAGAAAACTTTTTGTTGAGATAGCTAATCTATTAAATAATAACTCACGTTTAGTTCTGTTTTAATTGCCCAAATTTTGAACACTGAAACCACGGCCACGGGGGCTTGACTGAATGACTGAGATATTCTACATATTCATAGATAATGCAGAGGGATTATGCCTCTCCATAAAGAAACAAGAAACAAAATACCTATACATTTATATGAGATTAAACCGGTCGCTGAATAAATAAGTCATCTTTAACTTACAGAAAGTTCAAGATGATTTATTTATTTCGAATAAAAGTTTTATTTTTTTAATGTGGAAAGGAGAAAGAAGATTGATTGGACTTACTCCTCTCGCTCACACGCTTATTTTCCTGGTTGAGAGCAATACCAGCTGATGGCTTCCTGTAACGTATCAGAGTACTCTTTTATTTATGCACATTCTTACTAATATTATAATGGATGGATATTTGTTACTCTTTCACGTAAATACTACTGAATGGATTCTAATGAAACTTTACAACAATATAGCTTATACATCAGAATAAGACATAGGCCATAATTTATATACATATTATTATACATATCTGTCTTTCTGTCTGAATGTTACGCTTTCAGCCGATTCTACGTAGACGCAGTCGCGGGCAGCAAGTTTGTATTAGCTCTTCTGTGAAAGTACCACGAACTCACAGAAGACCGCCGTGAAGTTTGCTTCGTTCGTTATACTTTCGTGTTTCGTCTTTTTCAAATTCAAATTTAAAATATCTCTATTCACATAGACTATACTAAATAGCTTGCGCGTTCTTATGAAACGTCAAAATTTATACGTTCGCAAGTAAGTTACCACCGGTACGGAAAGCAGTTTCTGTTGAGAAGGAACCGGCAAGAAACTCAACAGCTGTCCTGTTTTTAAATCGATTAGTTTACAATATGATAGGTATAACTCTCGTTATAGCCTACATGAGTATCAACAGTATTTACCCCACACATTGGCGTGGGTGAGTGATGTAACTGGCGCTCACTTTAATGCAATGCCACGTGTTGCAAATGCCAGTGGGAGGCGGATATCGCTTAGTATCAAGTAAACAGCTCGCATATAAAAAAAATACTTAGGCTATTTAATAATACGACTCGGCAGCGTCGTTGCTAAACTATTGGCTTCGACGTCGGGGGTCGTGGGTTCGATTCTCAAACGGGACAAATATTTGTATGATTGTTCCGGAACTGGATGTTTTTAGTCGTAAAAACGTAGCCAAAACCGTTTACAACATAATTCACATGTAGTGCCAACCCCACCGAGGTGGGATGAGGGTAGGAGTAGAATGATGTTGACTTAGGCTATTTAATAATCACAAGATCGTCATCATCCTTACCCTATATCAGCCCACTGTGACTCCCACAGTGGGCTGATATGGTAACGATGATGACGAGCAAGCTATTAGGTGATGTAGATGTCCATAGGTGAACCAACTGCTCGTTTGACAATTCTTCACATAAAAAAAACATTTTAAAGGAACTGTTACGACCTGGGAACCTTCGATAGCATATGCTTTCCTAAAAGGCCGGCAACGCCTTTTAAGCCTTCCTTGTTCATGGTGATCACTTTCCATCAGCTGAGCCTTCTGCTCGACTTTATTTCCATAAAAAGAATCTCAACAAGTATCCACTTTCTTTATATCATTCAAGCAACGCTTGACGCGATCTAGTGTGAATTCTCTACAGTATACGTTAGATGGCATGGGTTCCAATTCGGCAGCGTCGAAAGTTTTCGTCAAATTATTTACAGAAGTTCAAATTATTAATTTATCTTAAATTAATTAAGAGCCTACATACGTCCCACTGTGGATTGTGGACTCACAGACTTCGAAATATGTAAAAAAATAAAATATCAAATAAAAGTAAAAAAAAGTATAGTAACAGCCAATACATGTCCCACTGCTGGGCAAAGGCCTCCTCTATACAGAGGGTATCAGGGCGTAGTCCACCACGCGGCTCCATTGTGGATTGGCGGACTTCACATATTTTTCGAAATATTTTTTTTTGTTATTATTTCGAAAATATGCAGGTTTCCTCACGATGTTTTCCTTCACCGCGGAGCACGTGATAAGTCAGCACTTAAAGTTAAAAACTTCATTGGTGCCGGCACCGGGGATCGAACTCAGGTTGCTCGAGTATACTGTCTATAATCAGAAGCGAGCGCCCGGACACTGAGCTATCACGACTCGCCGATGAGACGATATTATATATTGAGTGCAGAGATTAGCACTAACAAGTAGAATATAATTTAAAAAGCTAAAAAACCCGACTGCGTTTCTGTGTATTTTTTTTATTTTGATATACCCAGTGACACCCTCACAGTAAATACGAATGTAACGACACCTCTCAAGCTAAAATCCATCAAGCCGTTCAGGCTGCAGAGCGTTACAATTATACATACATACTCAAAAAAAGGTAAAAGGACTTACGGCCTGGTAGGCGCCTTCGTCGTCGTTGTTCGGATCTGGTCTTCCTTGCAGCAGACCAGCACCCTCCTGACTGAGTACTCGCAGAACTTCGGGTATATCCCTTTGTTCCTGTGGTGTGTTGGTTTCAAATCTAAATATGTTCCAGACTGGCACACGTCAATTTAGTTCCTACAATTTACTGCTAAGTTTACTATGCCAGGCTCAAGTTATTTATTTGGAAGAATAAGGTAATATTATGGTCTTAAATCTAATACACAAATTCACATATTCTGCCTGTATGATAGGCGTGCAAATATTAATTGGTTTTTACTCCTCCTCCTTTTTTGAAGTCGATTGAAAATAAGGAAAATAAATCCGAATGCGTTGTACCTAAGACTTTTGGAAAGGCCAATAAATAGACAATCTAGACTTACATTAGATACTGTGTGAAATTTTAAGAGGAATTATGTCCTACCACTCTAACGTTAATTATAGGTAGAAAAGGGAAAAAAAAAAAAAAGTAAGAGCCTATATTATATTTCCCACTGCTCGGCAAAGGCCACCACTGTACACAGGGTAACAGGTCATAGACCATCACGGGACCACTTGGCGGACTTCACATATCTTCGAAGTACTGTTTTTCTGTCATTATTTTGAAAATATGTAGGTTTCCTCGCGATGTTTTCCTAATAATTTCGCGGTAACATCGTGAGGTTAACAGTTTTATCGCAGCCGGCACCGGGGATGTGCCGAGTTTCTCGAGTGTATTGAATTAAAGCGAGCGCTCGGAAAATGAGCTGTCACGGCTCACCGGCTCACTTGCCACCTTCTAACATAAAAGGGTATATATAGGGTATATAGCCCATTTTTAAAATAAGACAGTTAACTGACGTAGATACGGCTCGCTTGGTATGTTTTAGTTATTTTCACAGTATAATGTCTTATGGCATTCTGCTTTGGGGTAACGCGGCCGACATTAATACAATCTTTATCTTACAAAAGAGCTAGCTATTCGTGCAGTTTACAATCTGGGCTCCAAAGAATCGTTAAGAAACTTGTTTAAAGAGATAAAGGTATTGACTGTTGCTGCTCAATACATTTTTGAAAATGTTTTGTATGTCCATAAAAATAAGAATAAATTTTTAAGACATTATAATGTTCATTATATAAATACTAGGAACAAAACGTATACGTTACTACAACAAAATTCCAGAAAACGTTCAAAATGCATCAATAGCTAAATTTAAAAAAATAGTAAATGAACGTTTGTTTTAACACACTACTGCTACTATAATATTAACGATTATTTAAATGATAACACACTCTGGTAATGAACTGATCGCTCCAGGCTCTTTCAATCGGAGTTCTTATATTGTATTTTTAATGAACTTATGTCAAACTGCTTATTTAAAAAAAAAAAAAAAGCCCGCTGAGTTTCTTTCGCCGGTTCTTCTCAGTACAGTGGCTTTCTTTTCCGAACCGGTGGTAGTGTTTTGACTATCAATAAGCGAGTGTAATGCTCCTATGTTGAATAAAGACATTTGATTTTGATTTTGATTTGACGACGATTCGAATGGCGCAGTGGGTAGTGTACCTGCCTCCTGCGCCACAGGGTGTGGGTTCGATCCCCATTAATGGAAAAATATTGTGAGATGAACATAGTATTTTTCTAGTGTCTGGGTGTTTATATGTGTATAATATGTATTTAGTTACAAAAGGAAACTATGTTCAAGCATGTTTAAGTTTATTTATCAGTTGACTAGTACCCATAGTACAAGTTGCTTAGTACCCATAGTACAAGTTGCTTAGTTTGGGACTAGAGAACGTTGTGTAAAAATGTTTCCTAAAATATTTATTCATTGTTATTATTTATTGTTTACTTACAAATAGTCGCTCTCGGCTGACGGGCACTGGTCTGCCAACTTGCACCGGCCGATAAAATTGCTTCTTTCATTGTAACACGATTCACCCTCTGTCAATTGGTAATGGGATTGATTTGGGATTTAGGTTCAGTTTCCACTATGGGGCACAACACAAAACACTACGGCCTGGACGCAGAAGTGTAACACTTACATTGCGCAGGTCTTCCTAATGGCAGGACCTGCCCATTCGTGCAACAGTGAGCACTGTTGCGTGGCCCTACCACAGTTCCGAAGCAATGTGACTCAATATAGCTTTGGCTACTAACTTTACCGATGAATTGACAATTTTCAGAGTTTACGCTTTCCACGCGTCTACACTGTCTCGCGTTTTTGATTCTGACAAACAGCCCGTTTGAATAGTTTTTTGCAGTTATTAACTCTATACCTGGAGGATTTTTTTTTGGTAAATTATGTATTTTGGAAATAAAAAAATAAAAAATAAAAAAAATGATCTGGTATAGAAAAAAAAGTAAAAAAAATAAGTGGGAACATGATCGTGATACGAATCACGGCCGTCTGTTTTGGGGCCGCCCGAGTACCGACCGAGCTATTATAACATTTTATTTTGCGGCGAAATTTACTGTCATATTCGAATGATATTTTTCATCCCCTGAAAACAGGGATAAAAGGACATTTTCTAAAAATGAAACCTAGCTAGATCGATTTTTCGCCCCCGAATCTACGCACAAACTAATTTTCATGAAAATCGCTGGAGCCGATTCCGAGATTCCGATTAGATATATATACAAGAATTGCTCGTTTAAAGGATAAGATGCATTCACGTGCCGAAAACCGTGAGAATTAGCTGTTAAGGTAATATCAGTACCACTACAATTCCGCTATGGTCAGTAGACGCGTGATATTGTTCCAACACACAGTATCTACCACGATCTCTCTCCACGCCCCGGGTTGACTGGGAGAGAATGCCCAAATGGCATTAAGTCCGCCCTTTGTAATCCTTTTTTAAGGTTTTGCAATAAAGCATAAATAAATAAATAAATAAATATTTAAGGTGGTATCCTCATCATCATCATTTAAAGTTGGGTAAAGCCAATTGTTTATCAGTAGGCGGTCTAATTTCTGGGCTCTGTGGTAGGGCCACGCAACAGTCTTGGCCGTTGCACGAATGGGCAGCTCCGTCCGGGTAAGTACCACGACCTCGCAGACCGGCGTGATGTGGAAGTGTTACACTTAGTATTCTGCGTTTCATCCGGTGAGTGAGGTAGACTGAGCCGCACTCCATTAAAAGGTGGCAACGCATCTGCGAACCTACGGGTGTTGCAAATATTGGCAGCGGTTATCACTTAACCTCGGGCGGACCGCCAGCTCGTTTGCCATTTTCTCACTTAAAAACAGAGATTTTTTTTTAAACATTCAGGACACATTTGTACACAACATTTTCTACTCCCAAACTAAGAAAAGCTTGTACTATGGGTATTAGAAAACTGATAAACATACATAAACATACTTTTCTTTTGTAAATAAATACATATTACACATATAGAAACAAACACTAGAAAAACACCATGTTCATCACACAATATTTTTCCAGTAGTGGGGATCGAACCCACACCCTCTGGCGCAGGAGGCAGGTACACTACCCACTACGCCATTCGGGTCGTCAGAAACATTGTTGGTGAATGAAACCCACGTCGCTGAGACGAGACGAGTGCGATCGTCGCGAAGAAGAAAATGGCCGACCCGTGGGGCGACATCTCGCCGGTTGTTTCCTCAGATTAGCCGCTACACGACGAGAGACATCGGCGCCTTTTACCTGCAACATTTCGTTTTAGAGCTGTATTACAAAGTAATTCTACACATGTGGAAGCGCTAGGGACGTTCGTGTTAAAGGTTATTATTACAATCTTGGTGATTATTAAAATCAGGGCCGGATTTAGAGATCTGGAGGCCTCGGAGCAACAAATTATTTTCCTTTGATTTCTGTTAATATTTAGTGTATACATGTCTGTACAAAGTACTGTAGGAAAAATATGAAAGGAAAACTTGTTTTCTAGTGTATACTAGTCAGATTTTGAAATTTTTTTCCGAAGTCTAATGTGGGGGCCCCACTTTTGTGCAGGCCCGGGGGCTGTTGCCCCAGTTGCCCTCCCCTAAATCCGGCCTTGATTAAAATGATTAAACACTCTGGAAACAATTGATCGCTCCAGAATCTTTCCTGGACCGCGGGTGTACCTTGATATGCGTCATGTTGGTTGCATTAAAAAATATTAGCATACTGCACTCCTTCCCGTCTGTCAAATTTTGTGTCATTTTTACTTAATTAGTTTGTTTGAAAAATATTTTTTTTTAATTATGGTTTTTATTTAACGTTAACATTTTTTTATGATTATTGGCAAGTAGCGTTAGACGTGTGTTCATTTATTGTCGCGATGGTAACGACACGCTGTATATGCTTAGAACTTTAAAACTACGCAACGGATCTTGACGCGGTTTTTTTACTAGATAGAGTGATTCAAGAGGAAGGTATATATGTATAATTCATGCATAATATAGCAGAGAAACACTGATAATTTTAGAGGTTTTAATGCGATATCGAAAACAAACATTCGGCATTGCACCCGTGGAAACTGGGGCGGGTTGCTAGTAAACTATATGTGTAAGAAATTTCATAATACTCCATCCGCGCAATTGTCGTGAAAAGGGGTACAAAGTTTTTACCTCACGTATTAATATATAGATGTAAAGTTCTTGAAGCTCCCGTCATGTCTATATGGATTTACTGTATGGTATTTCGTATGGAAGGGATTGGTTGTGTTATTGAAACGTCTTGTGGGATGACAACTACTTTATTTTTACCCTCAACATCTTTCTCGTAAATACAAAAAGTAAGTGACAATAACAAAATTAAAAATAATAAGGGTAATAAGTACTAATGAGCACTGCGACTTAGAAAGGTCAATTGTAGTAATTCCTTCGAAATTATTGTCCCCCTACTGTAGGATTACATTATCCTGTGTTGTATGGACCTTATACATACATGAATTTCACGTGTGAAAAATCCCAGAACTGGAACGATAATCTGTGGGCCATTCAAATAATAGTCTCGTGTGGGAATCAAACCCACGACGGCACCAAAGCAACTCAGCAACTGCGCCACGGAGTAATCGTCTAATACACCGCTAAACGTGACAGGACTGATAGTTTATTATGCTCTTTTTACCCGACTGCGCCATAAGGAGGGATTTTTTTAATGCGATAAGTTGCCAAACGAGCGGACGGGTCACCTGATGGTAAGTGAATACCGCCGCCCATGGACATCTGCTACACCCGAGTGTTACAGATGTGTTTACAACCTTTTGAAAATTGGGCTCCGGCCACCTCACTCACCGGACGAAACGCGAAAGTATTTGTCATACTTCCACTTTACGCTGGTCTTCTGTGAGGTCGTGGTACTTACCCGGACGGGCCTGCCCATTCGTGTAACAGCCGAGGCTGCTGCGTGGCCTTACCACCGTAATTAGGATTACGATGATCCCTCCCAAATACTGTACATATAGTGATTTTCTTGTTGTAGCCTATTTGTCCGATGATTTCCATCACCGGCGTTCGGCGGGGCAACCTTTATGCCGTCGACGTTCGCGCACAAAAACGCACGGTCCGCTTCGTCGTTTATCATCCGTACAGCTAAGGAATGGAACAACCTGCCGGTGCCAGTCTTTCCGTCCGTTCACAACGTTGGCGTCTTCAAGGCAAGAGTGAATAGGTTTTCACTGAGCTAGCGCGCTTACCATCAAAGGCTGCATCGCCACATACCATCAGGTGGGATGGCAGTCGAGTGCTGGCCAGTTTTGAATTGAAAAAAAAAAGCACACGCTCCAAATAGTGCGTCCTCGCCTCCGAACACGGCGAAACCAACACGACGCGTACACAAGGTACACCCGCGTCCCAGTCGCCATTGGGGTCACGGTCTGACCGAACCTCAATGGAGCGTAGGTGACTGTGGTGGGACCACGCAGCTCTCGCTGGTGCACTCTGGGAGTGAGGTAGCCGGGGCCCAGCATATTGAAAGGTGGCAACGCATTTGCTACCCTGCGGGTGTTGCAAATGTCTCTGCGGCGGTTAACACTTAACATCAGGTGAACTCCAATACCGGCACATGATATACGCGTTGGTAGGTATCTGAACGATTGCAATTCAAATAATCATTTCTTTTAAAAGCGCGTCCCAAACAACGAACCACATACATTGCAAACAGGGGACCTAGGTTCGATTCTGAACTCAATACATCTGTTAGCGTTGCGGCTATATTTTATTTCTCTTATACATCACCCCATAAGATACGGGAATACTGGGTTGCAATGGCCTTTACAAACGAGTGGGAATGCTCGATCCAGAACAATTATTTGTAACTTTCACCGTTTAGCCTTTTTTCCGACAAGAACCAAGTGCAGGGTAATATAACGGCAATGTTGTTTATTAAAAAAACCTCTATATAACACAACGGAATACGAAAGTAATTCTACAGGGGTCACAATACGGGCTTGTAAGTGCAATGCACCCAGACCCTCGAATACTTAAGCTCAGACACACAGTTATGCTAATCGAAACCAGTCGGGGTCGGTGATACTTGTATCGATATCGGCACAAGAATGCTTAACCTGATATTTTTTTTTTAAAAAAACATTGCCCTCACTTTAGGATAACATTATCCTGTGTTGTAAGGACGTTTTACAAACATAAACTGCACGAGGACAAACCCCCAGATGCGAAACAACTATCTGTGGGTGACACAAATAGTTGTCCCGTGTGGGAATCGAACCCACGACCCTCGACGCCGAAGCCAATACCTTGGCAACTGCGCCACGGAGTCATCTTTGATGATAATATACCTATGTGTAGAGTCTAGCACTAGTGTTTGGTGGTAGGGCAACGCGTCAGCTTCGGCTGTTGCACGAATGGGCAGGTCCCTCCGGGGAAGTACCACGACCTCACAGAAGACCGGCGCGAAGTGATATACTTCTGCGTTTGGCATTTTGCCACGAATGCCAATGGGCGGCGGCAATAACGTTAACGTCAGGTGAAACGCCTGCTTGCTTAAACAATTTCCATGCAGAAAAAAAATTATACACTACGCTTGACAAATGGACATCTTTGTGAGATTTTTTTTTATTTCAGAAAGTGGCAAACGAGCTGTCGGTTCACCTGATGTTAAGTGATAACCGCCGCCCATGGACATGTGTAACACCCGTAGGGTTGCAAATGCATTGCCACCGCACTCGCCAGACGAAACGCAGAAGTGTAACACTTCTATCTTACGCCGGTCTTCTGTGAGGTCGTGGTACTTACCCGGACGAGCCTGCCCATTCGTGCAACAGTGAACACTGTTGCGTAGCCCTACCACGGTTAACAACTTAACATTTAATAATTCGCAATACCCAAGATTACGGCAAGATACCCGACCAAATAACTCGTCCTCGCCTGCATGCACGGTAAAAACAAAATAGTCTTCCATCCGAAAACATTTCCCCTTCTTTTCTAAATACGATTACGATGTTTACGAAATTGATAAGTGTAACATATTAACACACCAGGCATTCCTCCCAAAAACACTGTACAGACATTTTATACGACATTGACGCCAGAGGGTGTGGGTTCGATCCCCACTACTGGAAAAATATTGTTTGATGAACATAAAGGTGCTTTTCCGGTGTCTGGGTGTTTATATATGTATAATATATATTTATTTACAAAAGAAAATTATGTTTAAGTATGTTTATCAGTTATCTAGTACCCATAGTACAAGCGTTGCTCAGTTTGGACTAGAGAATGTTGTGTTAAACACATAAACTTAACATTAAAAACATATTTTTAGGACTCATCTAAAAAAATATGTTTTTAATGTTTTAACATAGTGATAGCACTCACTCCAGATAGTTCGTAATCGTCTACGTGCACGGCGAAACCAAAAACTCGTACACAAGGTACACCTGTGTTCCAGGGTGGTCACCGTCCGCAATCAACCAATAATACAGTCATCAGCCATCGGAGTCACGGTCCATACGGAAGCGATCTACTTGTGCAATTTTGAAGGGCACCGAACCCTTAATAATAATCCAGGCACATCCGTCATTTGTTTTTGATTTGATTTTGTGCAAAAGTTGTCAAGCGAATAGACTCTCCATCTGATGTTAAGTGATTTGTAGCTAAGTCTGACGGGGTCGTCTGTGAACACAGTAACTTATGTTATGCTAGACATATTAGATCATAAAATTAATAAGTAAATGGAATTGTTTATGGTCTTTTGCAATAAAAATAATATCGTAGTCATAATTATTCTAAATGAAATAATAAACAAAATATTTCGATAAGAATTTAAACTTGTGCAAATATTGTCTAGTAAGCTAAGTAAAACTGAATAGGTGATAAAATTAATAAAATATTACTTTAATTCTAATTCTAAATGTGTGCGGGAAATTCAAATGATTCTTATATCGTGGAGAAGCATATATTTTAATTAAGAATGAACGCCATATAAACAAACATAAAAACATATATAAAAACAAAGACGTATAATTAAAATCGGATGACGTGTTTAACACAACTTCTGATTTAACTACTTATCTAAAGTTTATAAGTCTTTCTCGATGGTGGCGTCAAGACAAAGGCATCGCTTTCAGCCAAGGCACCCAAAAATGTTAAGTTATCTTGGCTCCTGCACATGCTTTCTCACAGATAATAAAAGTAATCATGGAAC